CCTTTGACAAAGACTGGAGCTTGAGACTAGATGATGCACTGTAGGCCTACTGTACTACTGCCCATAAGACCCCAATTGGTATGTCTCTGTATCAGATCATCTATGGTAAGTCCTGTCACATTCTGGTGGAGCTGGAGTATCGTTCATATTGGGCAGTTAAGAGCTGCAACACCGATTTAGAAGAAACTGGCCTGAACCGAATCCTTCAAATTCAAGAACTTAAAGAAATGCTGTTAGATACCTACAACAGCTCAGACATCTCCAAGCAAAAAACGAAGCTTGTCCATGACCCTAACATCTTGAGAAAGAAGTTTAAGAAGGGTGACAAGGTGTTGAGGCATCAACCTCAATTCAAATTAAAGAAGGGTAAGTTCAAGACGAGCAGGGATGGACCCTATATTGTTACAAAAGTGTATCACTTTGGGATGATAGAGATCAAGGAGGAGGCCACAGGAAAAATATTTCAATGTAACGGCCATCTCCTTGAAGAGCCCATACTAACATCTTAAGGCCAAGTCATCCCTTTCCTTTACTTCTTACTGTTCACATGAATTTACTTGGGCTTAAATTATCTTGTTGTGATTACTTGAGACTGTGAAAGGGATATCCTCAGTAGAAGTGGTTTTAAATTCTATTTGTTTTCAATAATCTCCATTGGCCTTGAGTTTGATGTGATTGTATTTGTGCTTATATTCTATCACCACCACACTTCTTGGTATTCTTGAGTTTTTCTACCCTTGTACTTAGCTCTTTTCTCCTCTCTAGAAGGGTGATGTGTTGTGCTTTAGTCTTGAACTAAACTTCACAACTTCCACTTTCGTTGTTTTGTGTTTGGGCTTTGCATTTTGGTGTGACTGTGTGCCGTAATGTGGACATTGCTTTGAGTGTGTGAAGGAGGGAGTTTTTAAAAGTGGTTTTGTGTTTTAATTATTAGGTTGTTCTTTGTTATGGGTAGTTCTTGCTAAAATTTACCAAAAATTTTTCAAAATTTTTGAAACTTTTGAAAGTTTTCTCAATCTTCCATCACTTGTTTTTGAGTTTTGTATTGAATTGTTGAGAATCTGGTGATGGATTGCTGAGTTGGGTTGTTATGGTAGGTGTAACATCCTTATTTTTACTTAGTATTTAATTAAATTTATAAATAAATATATTTTAATATCAAGTTAATAAAAAAGAAAGGTTAGATATAGGCAAATTATTATTATTATTATTTTAATAATGTTTTTGTGTGTGATTGTGTGTGTGTGGATGGTATTCTACAAAATTATACCATGGTATAGAAGTCCCACATCGACTAATTTTTAGAGTGAAGGAGTTTGAGGAGCCTATATATAGGAGATAGTGAGTGGAGCTTGAAGTGAGTAAATAATTTTCGCACATATCTGAGGTAATCTCAGAAAAGTGCTAGTTTTGAGTTTATTAACCGTTGGATCGGACTGAAATTTGGTCAGCCCATTTGGGACATCCAAATCGTTAATTTCAACGGTTGGATTATCATTTTGATCTCTGAGTTACAAGTTATTAGGTACATTTTTAACTTATATCTTTTGGATTTAGCAGATAGAGTCCTGAATAGTAAATTAACATTTTAAAGTTCATTCACCGTTAGATTGAGCTACAATTTGGAGGATAGTATCACAATATATAGGAAATTAAATTCAACGGTTAGATTAAGGATTTAATGTAACATCCCAAATTTGGAGCCCTAGTAATGGGAGTGTGAAAAATGAGATATGATTGATAAGCATAAGGTATGAGTAAAGCATGAAAACCCAAAATGGGACGAAACCGACTTTATCGGGTCCCTAGGGGCAAAACGGTAATTTTGGAAAAAGTTTCCAAAAATTACCTAAAATAAAAAAAAATGAAATTAGAGGTTTTTGAGTCACACATGATGTTTTGGGAGTGAGAATAGCCCAAAATAAATTTTGGTGAAAATTCCCAAAAAAAATTATTTTTGGGAAAATAGGGAAAAATAAAGGGAAATTAAAGTGATAAAATTATTTTAATTACCTAAGGACTCCAAAAATCCAAGGAAAAATATGGATACACTCCCTAGGAATATATATGAATTTATAAAATTGTTTCCAAGCATTGGAAATACAAGAAATAATTTATGGGGAATTTATTTCTGAATTCCTATCGGTAAGGACCCGATTTCGGAGAAAATGTGAAATAAATATCTAGAGATCTTGAAAAATTCCCAAAACTTCCAGATCACACTCTTGAAATAAATAGGGAATTATCATGAAAATAAATAGAATTTTTGAAGCCCTTAGCTATTTTTCCTAGTAGAGGGCAAGAAATCGGGTATTATGTGACCGAATGAATTTTTAAATTACCCTAACTAATTCCATTGCTTCCTAACCAGTTTTTACCATTTAGTTAGCATCCAACAAGGCCCAAATTCATGCTCACCATGATCAGAACAGCTGGCTTGTGTGCTGGGCAAATTTTCAACCATTGGATCAACTCTCTTGGAAAGTGAGTCAAAGAATGTGTGGCTAGGATTTGTTCTTCATTTTGGCCGACCTTAGCACTTAATTTGGGGCAGAAATAGCTGCCCAAGGGAAGGTTTTGGGCAGCAAATGAGCTCTATAAATACCCCCACAAGGCATTCAAAATTCGGACAGAAATGGGACAATAGAGGGGAGGTTCTGCACAATTTTCTTCTTGGCTTCCAAACACTCCTCAAAGCACCTCCAATCCAAGGTTAATCATCAAGCTTTAATCCAAGACTCTTTGAGGTATGTTTAGGCTTTAATTTGATGCTTTTTCCATGGTCAAACCGTGACTTATTTGAGGGGGAAGTGCTGTTTCAATTCTGTTGTGCTGGAAGTGCTAGGAAAGGATAGCAAATTGAGTAGGAGTTGTGTTGTTGATGTTTGGTGCATTTTGAATGGGTTATGGAAGAAATTACCCTATGAACTATGACTTTTCAGTTCAGCCAACTCAAGAACTCAAGGGTAGGAATTGTTTCAATAAGTTTTAATGGTTCCAATGGACTTAAAATGTGATGGTATGTAGGATTATGCTAAGGAAGTATGTCAAATTCATTGGAATCAAATATGAAAATTTATGAACCTAAGAGGAAGTGTTCAGCCATCTTGAATATATGGACTTATGATTGGATTTTGAAAGTTTTGATGCTTCCATTGAACTCCTTGGGCGTTTTTGTGTAGGGTTATGTGGAGGAATTGAATTTGGAAGCATTAAAAATCAAAGTTGGAAATTTTGACATTTTTCCTTATGAAATTCGTTTCTGTTTTGACCAGAATTTAAGGAAGGAATTTGATTTTGTAAAATTTGATTTGATATTTGAATTCTACATGAAAAACCATGTAGGAATGGCCAAGGAGGTTTCTTGAATCAAAAGGAAAACAATTAGGCCAAAAATCCCAAGAAAGAAGGGTTTAATGTTTAAGTAATAGGGAATGTGTTTGAATAATTGTTGAATGATTGGCCTTGGTGTTGGTTTGATAGGTACCTTGCCAAATCCTCAAGAAAACATCTTGAACTTAAAGGAAATCAAGGACCAAGTACCAAAAGGTAGCATTGAATTACACTTTGATTGTTTTCTTGCTTACATTGATGTGTTAATGTGAATGTGTGCAATGTATGCCATGATGTGACTAAGCTTTATTACAAATGTTGATTGCAATGTTTGAATTATGTTGCCTTGGCATTATGTCCATTGAATATGTGTATGATAGCTTACTTTCCATGGCATAAAAGCATGAACATATGAACAAGATATCTGCACAAAAGCATTGCATGTAGTGTTTGCAGGAATGCATGATAATTGTGATTCTGTGCTACTGGGATTTCTTTGAAATCTCACTCTTATGTTTAACACCACCTAGGAGGGAGTTCAAGCAAGGGCAAAGGCAAAGAAATTGTCCCGGAGACCTAATGAACAATTAATGTACCCTAGTGTAAATTTTTGGAACTTGTTATGTAATATTATGACCTTGGAAATGTTTGTTAGATAATAACTCCTAAGGGGAGCCAAGCATGTATGTCTATGTTTAAACATGTGAAAGCATAGTAGAATGTATGTTCAAGCTTGTATTAAGCCTCAAATAATTAAGAATGGGTAAAAGGTTATGAAAGAGTCATTACAAAGGTAATTAGGGGATAACCTTTGACTAAAAAGGACCAAGCTTGGTGCATACGAAATAAATAGAAAATATTCGAATCTGGATTTGAAATTTGGCAGACTAATAGATCACATTTTTAGCTTTAAATCAAGTGGTAGATCATTAAATTTGGAATTTTTAGAAAGAGTTATGCCCTTTCGAAGTTGGATAAAAATACTGGAAATTTCAGAATTTACCAAATGAACAGTACATAATTACGTGGAAATTGGTATTGATTTGTGAGGAATTAACACCTGTGGATATTTTTCCTATGTAGAGCATTTCATAAACTTCACGTGAGACTTGGAACCACACTGTTTTGATATTTCTACAATTAGTTATGATTTTTCAAAGTTGACCCGATTTTTAGGGGTTACATGAATAGTAACCGAAATCAAAATTTTAAATCTTGGTTTTTACATACTTTGAGCATCGTGTAATGATTCCAAATGGTTCTAAAGGACATATAATGGGGTTTAAAATGAAGGTGTGACATTTAACTTCTGTAGTGAGAATAACCTGGTTCGTACTAAGTCTATTTGTCTAAGTCCTTTGAAGATGGAATATAAGTTATCAATTTATAATTTGTCTATTTGCATTATGAATTTGATGATTCTAATAATATAATCTAATAATTAAAGGATATTTAAGTAAGGGAAAAATTCAGGAATCGAGTCTAAATCATATATGTGTGTGTGTATGTGTGTGTGTTCTCATTCCAAACCTTAGAGAAATGTCTTTTAGGCTAGAGTTCTGAGTAAAATTAAAGCTTTTAGAGGAGAGTTAGAGGCTAGAATTTTGTGAGTAGCCTACTCTAATACTATAGAGATAATATTTTAATTTTGTTTGTAGATATAAACTCTATTGTGGCATTTTCGAGGTTGGACTCTGGTTGTAGTTGACTGTTAGCTAGGAGACCAGGTAACTAAATTTCTATCTGTTGCGTGCTCTAGTATGAAGTTGGTGAACAGCTTTATAACTAATTCTATAAAAGTATATTATGTTTTGTATGAACTGTCTTGTGGGATGCTATTTTAAAAAGGATTGACATAGTTTGTATTGCAAGAAATTGGTGATCATGATTATGATGTGCCATTATGAAATTCTGTTGATTATGCATATAAATCTGTCATTTTGAACCCTGTACATCTATTTTGGGTGGGGAAGGAGATGATTGGAGTTATTGAGATTTATATACTTACCACGTGGTATCAGCCTCCATACGGAGCTCTATGGTTGGCCACTATTATTGTCCCACTAGTTCTTCGAGGGACTGCGACACCCCACTAGTTCTTCGAGGGGGGACCCATGGTCCACCGAGTACTTGTGGTCTTTGGCCGGTCCATATCACTTGAGTGGTGAGCTTGTCA